GTCAGGATGACGTGAAGGGCGGAGCCGAGTCGAAAGGCGGAGGCCGTGTGTTGAGGGGAACCTCTTTCTAGACTCACAAAGGGGAGTGTCTCAAGGCCAGAAGTCTCGGCTGACACCATGTCTGGACGGACTTTGAGCCAAATCCTCTTTATTTCCTTGGAGCGCCCCCTTGAAATCAGATAAACCAACCAAAGGTCCTTTTTCCCTGTGCAAGTCGACTTGCGGTCTGGGACAGGCGGGGGTCGTTTGCGGAGCATGGCCGTTGACGAGGGGAGTTCTAGGAGATGGGGGGTACCCTCAAAGAAGACACAGCCCGCTTTGCAGCTGCCCACAGCGAATCGAGCGAGAGTGACCTCTTGGCCGGTTTTTTGGTCCCAAAAGGTTGATCCGTTGATGTCCAGGTCATGCCGCCATGTGCTTTTCTGCAGAGGGCAGACAACCTCTGCACATTTTATGCCAGGCGCTCACTGATCCAGGGTGAAACGTGCTCACTGTGATGTAGGTCTTGTACTTGGGAATCCAATTCGCATTGAATAATTTGCAGACGAAATTGTCATTCCTTTGGTCCTGACCCTCAAAATTGGGAAGCTCTTATTTCCGTTCGCCTAGACAACCTGTCTCACAGACAAGCTCTGCAGGTGACTGGAGAGCCGGGAAACATATTTTCGCCTGAAGGTTGACAAGCCCCCAAGTGATGGGCCCCAATTGCCCCCTTTTCAACCATCATGGAAGGTGACATGGGAGGGAGGTAGTCTCCCAAGCACCCGTAAGATGATTGAAGGGCAGCTTAATTTCATGCCAGCTGAGTTCTCAGTGGAACCGAGCAATCGACATCAATTTCTCCGGCTGAGCGTAGCCCGTCCCTTTTGAACGATGTCCGGCTTGTGGGTCAGCGACAAAGGACAGCCTCATTTTCTGGGTGTCTTTCGGCCAACGGGTCGGGGTGCGAGCCACATTATTTTTGTTTTTGCCAGGCAGAGGAAAAGGCAAGGGCAAGGGCAAGAAGGGCAAAGACGATCAGGCCTGCGGGCCCCAGTGCGTGACGCGCATTTGTTTGAGAAGCCTTGAACTTTTCTTTGGGTTGCTTTGAAGAGAAATCACCCGTGTCATTGTTTCAGGGCAACCCTTCAAATAGGGCTTGTTTGATGAATGCGAACCGTGGGTAAAGTCTCTCGCTGTACCCGACCCTAATCGGCACACCATGTTCCACTCATGCCATGCTGCATACTCACCACAGTTGGACCATGAAACCGCCCCTGGCCGGACATGGAGACGACCGCAGGCTCCGCTGCTTTCCGCAGCCGAAGGCCCGAAGCCAAAGGGGAAGCAAGGCGGGGGCTCCGGGCCCATCTCCCAAGTATTGTCGGCGGCTTTAAATGGGAAAACCGGGGAAGCGGTTTTAGGCACCCTCTAATTGGTGGTTTTGATGGGTTTGGGGATTTGAACGGGTCCCTGGTTCTTGCAGAGGGTAAATGGGAAACCACCCACCACCAAAGATCCAAACCACCAGTTAGAGGGACCTGACAGGTTCGATACTTTCCCTAAGGACCCTCAGATTTTTTGTGCCCCTGACTTGCCGGGGCGCAGCCTTTGATTTTTGGACGCGAATCGCAACAAGCCCGCGGACCGCTGGCAAGAACAGAACATACGGAAGCATGCTACAAGAACGCAGATGCCTGCTTTTGTTGGTCCGCTTGAGCTGTGCAAGGGGTTCTCTCGAGGGGGGTGAATGCATTTCGGCGCGGCGATCCGATTTGAACACGCCAGGCATGTTTGGGCCCATTCTTGGTTGATGCGGATTGGACATATTTGAAAGCCACCGAGCAATTTGGGGAGTGATGTCTTTTTGCTTAGCGGAACCCCAAACTAAAAGGAGGTTGGTTAAGCATTCTTTGCCGTTCATTGTCATGGCAATGAGATGAAATAGCGTGTCACTGTGCTGCAGTTTGAGCATGTGGTTTGTGGTTGGCATGGCATGTGCTTTTCAAAGGGAACCTAATAACTAGGAAATTTAGCCAGTGGAGACGCTCAGGGGTCGAAGAGGATATAAAGTGTTGCTCGGAACCTGAGATGACCACAAAGTCGAAGATTTCGGCAGCGTCTCTTTTGGTTTCCTTTTTCCGGAACGAAACTTTTTCTGCCCATGTGCCGATCGGGTCGAGTGGGAGCTGAAAAGTCTTGGGGACCTGGGAGTCGCCTTCGACGTGCTGCCAGGTGTCTTCGAATACGGGAAGGAAGGCCGAGTTCGCGTTGTGAAGGTTTCCCTATATGTCCCCTTTGGGTGGTTTTAGACGTCATCTTTCTCTGTCATTTTCAACTGTGACTACCTTTTTTGGTGGGTGACGTTTCAATCGAAAATATAGGGAGCCCTCTTGTGGTTGAGGCGCATTTAGCTACTTCTCAAAGGGATTGTTGGGCGTGCGGCTGTCGGAGTTCTCAAACAAAGGATGAAAGCAGGATACGCTGTGCTGTGCGAATGCATTTGGAAGAGATTTGGATCCGAGTTGTTCGAGTGCCGCCTAAGTTGTGCTTGATTGTTTGCCAGGATTGGAACATTGCTGCTGTTTGAGCATCACCCTTTGGAAGGGCTCCAGCATTTCATTGAGGTTAGCAAATTCTATCCAATCGAACAAATGAGCACAAACTGGGTTGGGCGTTTCAAAGCCAAAGAGGGGTTGCAATCTAAACAATTAACGAGCACCAACCACCGTCCCCTTGTAGCGTGTGCTTTAATTGATTCTTCCTGGAGCCGCATCAACAATTCCGAAGCTGCCACAAAGCCACCTGCTGCCTGGTTTCCATTCCACCGACCTTCTGCTGAGAATTACTGGGCGGCTTGGACCCGTGCCATTGAAAACCAGGGCTGTGGCTTTCCGGCCGTGAAACCATCCATCCTTCTTGCCAGGTTCGGACCGGAATGGGAAGAATGGGCGTCGCTCGCGCTCGCGCGGCAGATATAGGCGAGGAAATCCAGAAAGGGCGGTTGTTTGTTTGTTTGGTTGTTTGTCTGTCTGTCTGTCTGTCTGTCTGTTTGTTTGTTTGTTTGTTTGTTTGTTTGTTTGTTTGTTTGTTCGGGTATGTCTTTCTTTGCGGAACCCGAAAGCCTTTCGCCTTCTGAACCACCAAAAGGAACGCACGCATTTCGTAGGTGCTACATGTTGAGACAAACCCAACGTGATATGTCCAGTCAACGAGGCCCACCGGCGCTTTTCGTTGTTCCCAACAGCTGACCAACGGGGTAGCTCTATGTTTCCAACGTACTACGGAAACCAGTGTGATCGTTTCCTTTGAGCAAATTTCGATTCAAAAGAGAACGGTTTTCATATCCTTTGGGCCAGAAGCTCTTCTCGGAGCGATCAAGAGTTGCTCCTTTCGTGAATTTCGGGAAAGTACCCAACACCAAAACAACCAAACCACCACTTAGCAGCTGAGACTGCTTGGAGCCGTGTGAAGGTGTGAACCTGGATGTCACGTTCAATTCGCATTCGCTACAACTGAGTAACACTTTGGTCAAAGACGATCCATGCTCCAAAGATTCTCGAATTGCACCCGCGTGGAAATGACTCAATTTTCTTCAAGGTATGGAATTAGTCAGACATGGGTTAATTCTCCCACTTGTGCAACCCTAGGGTGTAACACACCTCGTTGAGAATGCCTTATGGTTTGCGACATTTAGTGTTTCAATTGCAAAGCCCGACAGACCACCATCAAGATGCAGGATTCTGTTGGCCTTTGGCTTTTCTTGCAGATGACCTTCATCACTGAAGCATTTGTGCCATGGTCAAAAGACCCCTTTACTCGGGCCTGGTAGGGATGGTGAACCTCTTGGGGCTTTCTTCCATTCCGGAAATGGGTCTTGACCATGGCGACCACATCTTTGGAAACAGCTGTGACCCGTGGTTGAGCCCCCAAGCCAACCTTCGTTTTGCCCATCACTCCGAGGTCACGGTCCCGGAGCCGGGACCGCCGGCGGTGACGCGCAAGAAACGGAGTGCGTGCGTCTGCCAGCGCGGGCGGAGTGGCTCGTTGGGTTGCCGGGATCGACAAATCATCGGACTTTTGGCGCGGTGAATGCACAAAGAAGTTAATACAGTTACATATGCACAGGTGTTGATTCCATCACTGTTTGATTCAATCGCCAGGGAAATGTGAAATGGATCTTAGCTCGGCACCAGCTGGCCTATGTCAACCGGATGTCTCGCACCTCAGATCCCACCAAGAGTTGTAGGACAAGTAGGCTTTGAAGAGTCGTCGGAAGCAACTCCAATGCATAGGAACATCTCGTTGGTTTTCACTGTCTAACCACAAGGAAAGACAGGTGGCTATGGCTGGTGGCTGTACATCCCGTTGAACCCCTGAGGCTGGTTTGGTAGAAAGATAAAACATCTCAGTTCACGCGCGCCCTTTCTCATTTGCCTGAGCTTTCAACCCAGATCAGCTCCCCATGGACCTAAAGAACGACATGGAACCCCAGGGCTGGTGCTTTACAACTCCAAAACAGGTAGCATGAAGAAAAGGACACACCCTCATTTATTGAAGCTATTGTTCCCTCACCCAGTCAGATGATCCCTCTGACTACCAAGCCGGGTTGGAGTGCCATTTTTGGCGCATGCGCCAATTGCCAGTCTGTCACAAAACCCTTAATCGGGAATTCCCCCCAATAACTCTGAAACTCGCCCCTTGAAAGGGTGATGGATTAGTTCGGAGACCCTCAACGGGTTTGAACAAATGGGTTCGGATCGTGTGCAGACAAAAGAAACCCATGTTTTAGAGCCATTTGGGGTTCTTAAAATTAGTCCCAACAAATGCCTTGTTTCCTTTGGGTTTGTTGCCAATGAAAGGGGTTCCCCAAAAACAGACACACTCATGCTGGCGCGTCTTTTTTTGGAGACGCCCCCAAAATCTTTTGGTTTCCTGTTAAACCTACCAACAAATGTGTGGCCTCAAAAAAGCAGACACACCCATTTGGAGATCATTTGTTCGAATTCGGTCAGTGCCAGGCAGCCACCAGCTTCTATAGGCCGGTGCCGTCTTTTTGTTTGGAGGTACCCGCATTGCAGACAGCTCTGTTTCCACCCACTCAACAAAGGACATGATGCATAGGTGCCCTTTTTGGTTCAGTATGCTTAGAAATAGATGACACTGGTTTCAGTTTGGTTCTAATCATTTTGCAGTGCCATATGTTCTGTTCCGCAAGGACACCCAGCACTTTGTATGTCTGTTTGTTTGTCTATCTGCCTACCCTGCCTGCCCTGCCTGCCTGCCCTGCCTGCCTGCCCTGCCTGCCTGCCCTGCCTGCCTGCCCTGCCTGCCCTGCCTTGCCTGCCTGCCCTGCCTGCCTGCCTGCCCTGCCTGCCCTGCCTGCCCTGCCTTCCTGCCCGCCTGCTTGCTAAAAGTGGTTTCATTGCTCGTTGAAGCTCGCCCAATGGTGTTTTCTTTGTGGTAACCGCCTTTTTTTGGTTGGTTTCAAGAGAACAAGCCACCCATAGGGGCAGAAGAGTCCCGGCTTTTGAAGCGTAGTTCGTGGCCAAAATGAGCGTGGCCATTTTGTTGAGGGCGTGGGAAAGCCACCATGGGAGCTTCACCATGGAAATCTCGCCCCAAGGACTGTGGGTCACGGCCTTGGCCGAGTCGGCTTCGGGTTAAGAGAATGGACGCCATCCATTTAGACCCAACACCGGCTAATTCTCAAAGGGGGTTGCACAAACCCATCAACCTAAGGGGCTAAATAATTACACATGATTCCCGAATGTAGCTTGCACGTAGCCCCCATGCTATTGAAGGCCTTTCTTTAATGGTCCCTGCGTTGGGGAACCACAGGGTCGACCGACCAAGAGGCCCCCAACCATCCTCTGGATGTTTTTGTTCTTCGGGTCTTGGGATTGTCTTTCCTTGGAGGGTATGGTTGTCTTAAACAGGGGACGCAGCTCACTTTGTTGTAGGCCATCCGTTTAGCATGAGACAAACACCATTCCCCCACAGGCTCCCGATTTTTGGTGAACCACGCCGCGAGCCAGGTCAGACTGAAAGCCTGACAAAGACTCAGACCAGGCGTGACTGGTGGCAATTGCCGTGTTTTCTTAGGACACGTCCTCGATTTGCCATTGCGCCAGCGCAAAAGTCACACACGCACACACACACATATACAAAATTGGAACTGGAAAGAGGGATGTCCCCACACTTTAGACTATCATCCCAAAACGGGTACTCCTTCGCCATAGCGAGCGGATCCGTTTTGGGATGGGGGCACCTGAGCTATGCCCCAGTGGAAAGCGATGTGTGGAGGATCCCTGCTCAAGACAGAGCATCCTCTGAATCACCCCCTTATTGGTGGTTCACTTGGGTCCATGAAAGTGACATTCAGGTAGAAATGTTTGTCGGCCACCACTGTTCCGCGTCTTTGCTTGTATTGTTTGAAGTAGGTAAGTTACTTGTTTAAAGTAGGTAAGTTACTTGTTTGAAGTAGGTAGGTTACTTGTTTGAAGTAGGTAGGTTACTTGTTTGAAGTATGGCCAACAGGGTTTGAACCTGCAACCTCCACAAGAGGTCGTGGCGCCAGCGCTCGCACTGGGTTGAAATTGCTTGCCATGAATTTGGGGATTCCCACGGAGCACTACGACCTGGCACCACTTTCTTCGGCCGTGCAACTTGAGCTGCGCCTGTTGGTTTTGGCGCAACCTCTCTACGTGAAACGAGCTCCGGAGAGAATCTGACAAGCTCGCCAACTTGAGTCCCTTTCACGGAGGGAGGTATAGAAGCCAAGTGTGTGCGTGCTTGCCTGCCTTGCTTGGCTTGCTTGCTTGCTTTTTTGGTCGGCTTGGTCGGTTTTGGTTTTGGTGTGCCGTTTGTTGGTTGGCTGCAAAAGCAGCCCAGAACCTGGCACCTAAGTCTCATTGGCTTTCATCCCCTTGACACGCCCCAATTTTCGAAGCGGACAGCCAGGCTGCCGCCGAAAACCGCCAGGGGCTCGGGATGACAGGCAGAGATTCAAGCTCTCAATGGGTTGCGTCTGCTATGGCCCACTTTTCAACATCTTCCCACCTTTGAGTCAGCTTCCATGATGACACGAGCTCACCCGGGTAACATGAGGGATCCCGAGCCCCATGAAGGTGCTTTAGGGATGGCGGTTGTCAATGTTTGTTTTTCGCTCCGTTGATGGAAGTCTTGGGGTCCCGTTTTGACAGTTGAGAGCTTGTCTGGTTGGTGTTTCTGTGCCACTAGGGGGCAATAGAACAGATTCCTATTCAAAAGCTAAGGCCTGCTTGCAAGCCCATTCTGGGGTGGGGCTATTTGGAGAAACAGCCATTCTCGCGTAGGCGTGGGGGGTTGTCCAAATTTTCTATTTTGACGAGCCACGCCCATGTCCAATGCCAAGGCGCATAGCCACGCTTATGTCCAATGCCTAGGCGCATAGCCACGCCCATGTCCAATGCCAAGGCGCATTTGCCCGTGGAAGCTCGGCCAAGCTTTTTCCGCAGCGAGCGGAAGACGACCACAAACTGGCAAGGCGGGAACTGAGTGTGTAAGAGCAATGGGAACAAAGCACGATGGCACTGCAGTTTTCTCAAATGATTCAGACATGTCAGCAATACTTGCCGGCTTTGATGCGTTGTGTTATTGGTCAGATTGCTCGGCTGGCAGCAAGTATCATAGCGCGACGATGGCATACATGTACATGTTGCACGCAGGCCCCCGAATCCGTAACAACCTCACTTTGGAGGAAGCAACCCATAGGGCCCTGATCCCGCTTGTAATACGCCAGAACAGTTTGACCTGCCAGTCTGTGGCAAGTATTCAGTTCAAGGACTAGGTGTGTCCTGGAATAGGACTTCTGGGCGTCCTTGTGTTTCCCCCCAAAACAGGAAGATGTTTCTTGGCCGACACGGCTGGAAGTATGTCCTATTTGTTGACAAACCGTCCGATGACGTGGAACCAGATAACCTTTTCGTTTCCAAGGCCGTGCTCCCTGGTTCAACGGGGGGGGCTGAAACCTTCACAGATCCACCCAGATGAGACGATCGCAAGTCATCCAGACATGAGGCACTGTCCGTGCTTCCAAGGCCGTCTTTTGTCCACTCGAAAGGCTTTAGATTTGATACGTCGTCAATTGGTGACAAGTATCCTTTGTACTTTGATGATTCTTGGAAAATGAGTGTTGTTTTGCTTAAAGGTAGAGGTGTCCGAACATGTGTTAGTTTCTTTCTCTCATTCATTCATTCCTTCTTTCCTTCGTTCGTTCGTTCGTTTGTTCGTTCCTTCCTTCCTTCCTTCCTTCCATTCATTCATTCATTCATTCATTCATTCATTCATTCATTCATTCATTCATTCATTCATTCATTCATTCATTCATTCATTCATTCATTCATTCATTCATTCATTCATTCATTCATTCATTCATTCATTCATTCATTCATTCATTCATTCATTCATTCATTCATTCATTCATTCATTCATTCATTCATTCATTCATTCATTCATTCATTCATTCATTCATTCATTCATTCATTCATTCATTCATTCATTCATTCATTCATTCATTCATTCATTCATTCATTCATTCATTCATTCATTCATTCATTCATTCATTCATTCATTCATTCATTCATTCATTCATTCATTCATTCATTCATTCATTCATTCATTCATTCATTCATTCATTCATTCGGTCAGTCAGTCATTCTTTCTTTCTTTCTTTCTTTCTTTCGTTATTTCCTTCTTTCCTTCTTTCCTTGTTTCTTCTATTCTTTGTTTCTTTGTTACTTTGCTTCTTTTTGCTTTCTGTTCTGAGAGTGGTGAAACATGGGAACAGGATACTTGAGACCGCCCCGCCAATGAGTGCCACAGGGCTCCCTCTAACTCCAAGTTGACGGACCAGAGGCCGGCGTGAAACCGAAAAAGAACTGCCAGGCAGCCCGGAGGCAGGTCCGAACGCGCGACACCTCGAGGGGTCGAGCGGTTCCTGAGAGCGAAACAAACCCAAGGGTGGCAAATTGGTACAAGGTTTTCTTTGAGCTTCCTTTAGCAACCGTTCTTCTACCCGTGCCAGTTTTGTGGGTCAATAGATGAGACCGAAGTAGCAAGGACATGTGCCTGGCGAACATGGATTGTGTTTGTTTCTGGACATGATCAGGTGGAAGAGGAAAAGGAAAGTCAGGTAGATGGGGCAAGAAGACAGGTTCCACAGTCTCCAGTCTCATTCTGAAGGGTCTGCAGCGAAGAGTGCCTTTCAGGCTGAAAATTAAGGCACAGAACTGCTGGACTACAACTCTCTGCACACAAGGGGGCTTGGTTTACCGCACCCTGGGCAAATGTAGTAGCAGATAAGCCGACCGCGGTGCTTAGGGATATGTCGCAAGTCGTGTTGCAAATCGTTGCACAGGTGCACGTAGTGTTCCCCTTTTGGAGACAGGCTGACAATGCCAGTGACTAGCGCAATGCTTTCTACTTCTTCTCGATCAGTGAAGTGAGTGGAAGTGCAGGTCTCATTCTCAAGCTCATACAAAGAGCCGCGTATTTGGATGGGTGCTCGTGATGCGAGGGGCGCGAGTCGGGCGCTCATGTTGTTCCAAGACAGCTTTGTGTCGAACATGTAGATCAAATATTTGAGTATGTCCTCACCGAAATTGAGATTGATGCATCGACGTTGCGTGTTTGAAGCCATATTTCCCTTCGCCATGTGTTGATGCCGTGCCGGCAGCTCCAGGCCCAACTCGACACGGAGTGGCAGACACACAGAATATAGGTGCAGACAGTGCTCTTGGTGCCACAAACATGAAGATGAAGAAAGCCGCTCGCTCTGAGCAATCAACTCAAGCAGGTTGAGCATCTAAGGAACGCCGAGGGAGGTGTTTGACATTGGCAGCTCTCATGTTCCCCCTTTCCGCGGGTACACAGTCGAAGCTTGATACTTATCTCTCACTGAAGCAGCAAACCTCTGCAAGGAGGGAACAGCATAGCTTGCTGAACTCAAGTGGCCATAAACATTTCATGCTTGGACTTCCATCCGAAGAACTAATGTCCACCACCCCCTAATTGGAATTCAAGTGGGACTTGCGCGAGAACGCCCATGGCGCTTTTCAAGAAGTACCCGGGCAAGGCGGGGATTCCCAAACAGAAGCTCCCGGATGGTTTCAGGGTCGAAGGGTCGAATGGGAGCAGCGCCGTGGGCCTTGTGGGCGAGCTTGGGAACGCAAGTGACAAATTATTGACTAGTGATGGTTTGGAGAGGAGAAGCGGAGCCGAGCCGAAGTTCCTAAACCCGAGCCGACGCAAGGACCCCTAATCTTTTTTGTGGCCTGGGCTTTAGAACAAAGATCTTGGTATGAGAATTGTCTTCAAGGAGCGCCTATTGCGCTTCTGTCAGCCCCCTCGCTTGGATGATGCAGAACCATCAGGGCACGGAGGAGGAAGATGCGCGGGAGTCCGCGATCATGCGCCTGCTGAAGGCAATGCGCGGGGCTTCTCCTTGTGCGTTTTCCAGATTTTCCCTTCGAACAAAGAGTGATGTCGCCTGGGTGATTCCCTTTGGTTCCCTGTTCCTCTGAGAAAGGGGGGGGAACAACATCTATAGTTGCCTTTTGTCGAAATAGCTATTGCCCTCACTGCTGCGAGGTAGACAGCTTTTTGCAGTGATCGACTGAGACAACCCAACCTGCTTTTTCTCCACAAAAGTGACCCCCCCTCCCACTCCACCCCTCTTTTGAGCGCCCAACATCAATGCCACCAATTCCGGTTGGCCATTTTGATTGGTGGACTCCCAGGTGTTGCAGGGGTGATTGTGAGGGCAGTCACTTCCCAGCAGAGTGGTAGAACCATATTGTGTCAATGGGTGTTGGACGCTGCTCTTTCGGGTGCTTCCGAAAAAATTGGACCGTCCCTTGTTTGTGGGGACGAGAATTTGAAGACGATTTTCAGATGGGCAACGTGTGGGCGCGGATGTTGATGCAAACAAGAGGACAACTTTGGTCAGGCTGGCTTTTTGCCATCCACACTCTCACACGCCTACATGGGTTTAACCCAGCGGGTCAGTGTGCTCAACATCCTGCATGGAAATTTGTTTTTCGGGGGGAAACCACACAAAGCGGCCACAACGTGGATTCAGAAAGTCAGATTTCCCAATGTAAATCCAATATAGGGGTTGATAGTTTCCTGCAGCCTCACATTGAGCGAGGGTCATATATGGATTTGTCAGTCCATGTTTCTGGGACCGTGGCCCCAAAATCATTTTTAGGCATGAAGTCTTCTTGTGGCTGATTTTGGATTGCTTCAGTCAGATTAGAGGACCAAATAATTGCAAACGCGATTCTCCAATGGTCAGAGGCAATGTGGTCCAGTAGCAGCCCACGGCCGCATGAGTATTTAGGCCCTTGTAGAATGTGTGTGTGTGTGTGGGTGCGTGCGTGCGTGCGTGCGTGCGTGCGTGCGTGCGTGAGTGTGTGTGTGTGTGTGTGGGTGCGTGCGTGCGTGCGTGCGTGCGTGCGTGCGTGCGTGCGTGCGTGCGTGCGTGCGTGCGTGCGTGCGTGCGTGCGTGCGTGCGTGCGTGCGTGCGTGGGTGGGTGTGTGTGTGTGGGTGCGTGCGTGCGTGTGTGTGTGTGTGTGTGTGTGTGTGTGTGTGTGTGTGTGTGTGTGGTGCGTGCGTGCGTGCGTGCGTGCTGCGTGCGTGCGTCCGTGCGTGCGTGTGGGTGTGGTGTGTGGGTGTGGGTGTGGGTGTGGGTGTGGGTGTGGTGTGGGTGTGTGTGTGTGTGTGTGTGTGTGTGTGTGTGTGTGTGTGTGTGTGTGTGTTGTTTTAAGGCCTTTTCACCTTGGCTCGGGATGGCCACTGGAAAGCCAGCATTGTTTGGGCACCCTTCGACAGACGCCCAACCACCCCTAGAGGGTTCTGAACAGGCAGGCTGCCTTCCGCACTTCGGGTCGTTTGCCTTCCGCAGCGCTTTCTTCGCGCACTGCCTGGATACCAAAGTGCAGCTTGGCTTTTGGAGAAATAGGGAGGTTGGGGCCCGCCGACGGAAGAGCTCTCGGAACACTTCTAAGAAGCTCTTCTAGGAAGATTCTAAGCGAGCCAAGAACCTTACCTTGGGGTGGGGGGCCTTGGTTTTCCTCGCGCTTTGACTGACTCAAATAGTTGACCATGCCTCTCTTTTGCCCCCCCAATGCCAATTCATGGCACCTCAGCTTGAAGTGAGTCATGTCATATATGTTTGCACCAAGCCCAGCTTCTCATTTGTTGCTCGCTTTTGGGATCCCAATTCCAATTGGGGGGCTGCGTAAGCCCAATGATGGTGTAGCGTACACATTCCGAAGCACAAGTCGTGCACCGCGATGCACGACTGCGCCACGTGCCAAGAGAAGCTCGGGGCAGATGAAGTCGAGACCGGGCTTTGTGACCCTGATGCAGCTTCCTCTCATTGGGTTCGCATGTCTCCGATTGCCTTGTTACAAATGAGGTGGCACTGTCCTCATCAAAAAAAGGGCACGCCGACATATTTCCTTGCTGCGCCCACCCAGGTTGTCC